ACACTGTACGCTACTTATAAAAAAACTTATTTCATTGATTTCTCTGGAACTAAGCAGCAATGACATAAATCAAACCCTTTTAGGCTTTTTACCTATATCAGTGGCCCTATTGAACAGCAAAGTTTGAGCAAAGAGCGGTGTGTATCACCTGCGAATGTTCACTCGTGAGAAAATTTACTCAGTCAGAATTTGATATATATTTTTCTTTTGTATATTGAACCTTTACAAAACATCTTTCGTCTTACCTATTGAGCAAATTATTTACAATTTTTTCAATATACATATGGATTATGTGCCTCCTTGAATGTTCAGAGCAGGATTCGTCACTACTTTCTGTTGCCATGCAAACCTGATGTAGGTTGACGCTGTATAAACGATTACTACGGGAGGTTTTGATAAGGTAAAGGATGAATATCTTCCTTTTTGTTCTTTACCATGCTCTTTTATCGTGTTAAATAGACGTGTGGCGAGACACTTGATCTGTACAAATAGTGGATTGATGAGGGACAACGATACTGCAATGTTGATATTCGGAATTATTATTTGGATCCGTATGTGTGCATGCAGTATTTATTCTCGTGTCTCACATACAGATTTCCACCAGGATAAACTAGCAACGGCTAAACTATCCTGTAGGGCCACTAGGTCATTCAAAATTAACAAATTTCACACTATACATTAATATATTCATAACGTAGAAAATGAATGACATGGTTAATGCTGGGTCTCAATAGCTCAGTGGTTAGAGCTTTGGAACGGAAAGCCAAAGGTCCTGGGTTCGATTCCCAGTTGAGGCCATGTTTTTCATTGAAGTTATGATAATGCAATGAGTTCACCCTCACTCTCACTCTCACATACAGATTTCTACCAGGATAAACTAGCAACGGCTAAACTATCCCGTAGGGATTATTTGGATCCGTATGGGTGCATGCAGTATTTATTATCGTGTCTATCGACGACAACAAGCCAGAGCACGGTTTCTTCGTCAAGTTGAAAGAGTAGAGTCTCAAAATCAACCACGTATCATCTGTCATATTATTACGCCCGCACCGATTGCCACACCTGCTATCCAAGAACCACCCCCACCAACTTATCAAGAAGTGGTCGCAGCCACGCAATACGAAGACGGATAACAATCATATGCGTGATTATTTCGAATCAAAATATGACCTTTTAGGATGACCGGACCACGCTCTAAGATCAGTCTCAATAAAATCTAGAAAAACTTAACATTATAATCTGATTTTGTGCGACTGCGTCATATTATTGAAAATTCGGATATCGTGCGGAAGCTATCGGGGCTATCCTCGTGTCTGAAGAGATAATAGAAATTATCGTAGCTATCTCCGGTTATAGCTAAAAGATAAAGCGAGCAGTTACAATGATATTAATAGAAACAATAATAATATGCATACATAACCACATCACATTAATTACAATAATAATATACGTTATATGTCCCATCAACTTTATCATCATATTAAAAATTACAGTAATAACATTAATCGTCGACAAACTTATCATTATCAACAGAACAATATAAGGTCAGATATAAACTCTTATAATCAGAATAGTACACAGCCTTTCATAGTAACATCAGAATTAGGTAAGTTAAATAATAAGCAACCAAGTTTTCCATCACGGGCGCTTATTAAATTTTATCCGCATAAATTAAAAACAAAAGAGCAATTTTTTCGAGAAAATCAACCTCCTACGGAGATTGAAAATAAAAAAGACAAATTATTTATAGCTGCGAATTTATTTTATCAAACTCAATATTTTAAGGTAGAAAGCAAAAAATGGAAAATTTATGAGTCAGTGTCTAATAGAAAACCAAAAATTGTTAGGAGGGATGGGGACGATATTTTAATGGAAGAAGTCCATGAAATACCGTTAATGAGACCTTTCAGTGAGAGACATGATAAAATTTTAAATATTACAGTAAGTGACAGTGATAGTTAACCAAATTTGAACAGTAATGATAACAGTTTTTATAACANTGAACAGTAATGATAACAGTTTTTATAACAGTAATACAGAAACAGATGATGATAAGAAAAAACGTAAATTAAGAGATACAAGTTTATCCCCAAAAAATCAAACAACATGAGAAATTACCATCAAAAAGAAAACAACTAAATCTAGAAAGAAAAAGAAAATACCTATTGAGAAGGATCCAAGAGCACCTGAAGGAAGCTCCATACTAATGATAAGTAGTAGCACAAAACGACCGGACACACCAGAAAGTCCGAGCGCGAAGAAACAGCGCCTTTTTTCAAACTTTTTTAAGCCACAGAGGGACGTTCCACCCTCATATGAGTGCCTTACCCAACGGGTTCGGATGTCACCATCCTTACCTACTACCCCTGCCGTGCTACCATCACCTCCGGTGATAAGCCCTAGACAAAGCACTCCCAATACCCCTCCGCCACATCCACAACCGCTCGTCGCCACACCCACAATTGAAACATCACGCCCAGGAGGTGAAAGAATCCACCTACCTATAGACAGATCTCACCCAGCTACAACTGTAGCAGACGAGCGGTGTATTCCAATGGAACATGAGCCAATGAGTAAGTCACCATCAGTAATTTCAAAGGATTCAGTAATGGGATGCGCAGAAATTTTTGATTTTCCGATTATTCCGATTGAGTGTGAGTTTTATTTTAAAATTTATAGACAGTTAGCATGCGCAAAAACTATTAAAGAACATAGAGAATTTCTAGAAAAGAAATCGATTAAGGTAGAAAATGAGTTAGAGGCGCTAATGTTAGAATTTGAGAATAGTGAGCTTAGAACAGTAGTACAGTATATTAAGAACAGTATTGAGCCGCTCATAGATATTTTAGAAAAACCAAATCAAAAACGTAAAGTGCAAGCCCAGATGTTTATGCTGATCGACGTAGCGGATAACATTTCCATTCAATAACACCTGAGGACGTGTAGGAACTTTGCCGAAAAACATATCCACACACTTTTTCAAATTCAAGGGTAACTGCCAAAATTCGGTGCACTGTAAAACGTCTTTTAAATCTTGATTCAAAATACTTTCACTTATTAAAATATTGTCCGAGCTATGATACATTGATGTATCGTCCGCAGATAAACGAAGTTTCGAACATTGTTTCCAATACACATTTTTGGTCAAAATAGGAGAGTAAAAGCTCAAAAACCTTTTCTATCTCGATCATTGTCTAAGTACTTGAAAGTATTTTAATTATCATTTCATACTATCAAATGTTATCATACTCTAAAATACTCTGTTCGATGCAGAATTTCATTCTCTATCGAATGACATTGTTTCCAATACACATTTTTGGTCAAAATAGGAGAGTAGAGAAACTAATTTTTAGACAGCGAAAAAAATGACAGAAAGCTGAATGAATTAATGATCGATCCTAAATAAAACGTCTTATCTTAAGTAGTTAGTCCATTACCAGGTCAGTTGGTTAGCATGTGAATTAGTTACCGAGTCTACTGAAGCGCGGCTGCCATATCGATAGCATTCACCTTCATGGTAAACAACCGACTTGATAATAAACTAGTTACTTGAACCAAATCGTGATATATGTGTGACCGGAATTTCGCTAATGGCAAAATTCTGGAACCCCTAATATATAAAATCGACCATATGTTATTCAGACTATTTTTGGATTTTGAATTCACTTCATAATATTGAAATCGGTGAAAGAAAGTCCGAACCAAAATGGACCAAAACATAAAATGCAGTACATCTGGGTATACAAACAGAACTTCACAATATCGATCTTTACTAAAAAAACAATGTTTAACAGAGTACCAGTGAGGAAATCTACTAGGACATGATAAGTTGATTGGAGACCTATTACGGATTCTTGATTTGACTATATGAACAGAAAGATCGTTCTATGGTAATACTGACCTGAAAATATTAGCCTGATTACGCACTAAGATAAAATGTGTCGCATATGTCGCATTTTACGACACAATCCACGACATTCGAGCACTAGCAAAAAACCCGCGACTTCGCTGCGGGTTGCGCGATATCAGAATTATAATGCATTTTACTGTAAACGCAACAAATCTTTAATATAGAAACAAAAAGCTCTAGTACATAATAACGGCAAAAATCATTATCCCCACAATGTTTTTTGACCTTTGATCCTTAACCCCACAATGTTTTTTTTATCTCTGACCCTTAATCCTATGGTTTTTTTGACCTTTAACCCCATAATGTTTTTTTGACCTTTGACCTCGTGCGGACAGACACACAACCGCGCTTTATTATAGGGGGAATGATGACACGAGGTGCTCGCTGCGACACATTCTAACGACTACAAATAGAGATAGTTAGATCACAAGATTCAGCCGTCCTCGAGTCAAATTGATCATGGTCGGAACACTTCGAGGTAGTTCGATCTCGGTCATCTGGTGATCTCTCGACATGTGCTCGAAAAATGAGTGTTCGAGAAATTATCTAAAAGAAAAGACATGATAGTTGACATATATATGATGAATCATCAAAAAACAAGACACATTCGACTGCGACACATTTTAACTTAGTATGAAGATATTATAATTGTTAGATATATAGTTAAAAATAATCGGAAAAAATCAGGAAAACCAGACGAAATCAGAGAAGTAGTGTCGCTGCGAGGCTTGCAGGTAAGGAATGAAGAGTCTAGTCATCAACTATTAGGTCATTGTTGTTTTCACCAAAATCTTTGAACCTGTTCCGATTCGTGTAAGAATAATTCGTTTAAGTGCATCTTGCATAATCGGTAAATCAATTGGTGAAAGATTTTTTATATTAGATACGGATACATGTAAATTGTTATCATTTGTTGTTGGATAAAAATATTGAAGATATTGAAGAAATTCATCAAGATATTCTTGCTGAATAAAGCAAAATGGATTTGGTCCAGCATCAAATGTATACGCGACTTTTATTTTTGATTGATCACTATTATAAGCATGAACCAAATTGATTAAGTGTTTTGATTGTTCATTAAGATAGATAACAGGTGGATAAGTGTCCATACAAATAGCATGAAATTGACCACTATCCAGCATAACAATTTGAGCAAATGTATTAAAATCTTTGTTTTGAATAGCTACAATCAGTTGTTCAATTTTTGTAAAAGCATTGTGAAGGTTTATCGTTCTGCATCGCTTTCTCAGCTAGATAGTGTAGAAAACCTATTTGAAGACCAATGTGAATAAAACTATTTCGATTTTGTGCATCACCGAATGATATCTTGATAGTTCGAGTAGGTCCAGTTTTCTCTTTGTTAGATAATCGAACAATGTTTTCCACATTGAAACCATTTTCTTCTAATGATAATTGGATTTCCTCTTCAGTGATATCAAGATCTACATGTTTCACGAAAGGGACTTTGTCCGTGTCAAGTATGCGTTGTATTCACTTCGGGATATAGATCTTTGCTTGTTTATATCCTTCTTCAATGAGAACTTTCGGTAATTCTGTTAATAGACGATTAAACATTTTAACATCAATCGCAAATAGCGTCAATGTTCCGGTTCGATTGCCTTGGATATCTAACAATTTTAGATCTGTGAAATGCTTTTTCAAGAAATTGTTTAATGCAACTTTATTCATTGGTAGGCCTTCGACTGTCGACGGAGCGATTTTGAAGTTGCTTTTTGTCCGCGTGTCTTGTTGGTTTTTAAATACATCATGTTTGTTTAACGCTTGGGTTTTTTCCAAGTTTGATCGATCCGTGCTTCCTCTCCCTCGGCCATTGCCGCGCCCTCGTACCATCTAACCAATTTCTTGACAAATATCAAGTTAATCTAACTAATTTAATCAATTTTGATCAACTTTTAATTATGTTTTTTCTGTTTTTGACTTTTTCGCTTACATTTCCCCCTTGGAATATCTTCACATAATAGAGATGAGGACCTAAGGATACCTTCATGTAATAGGACTTCAGGACTCAAGGGTACCTGCATATAGTAGGATTTGTTATTGATCTGTTATTAATAACAATAATGTAAACTTCACATAGAGAGTCATAAGAAATCGTAGGGAAAGGAAAGGAAAGAATAGGAGTATATGGAGAAAAAGCGACCTTCGTGAGATTCGAACCCACACCTTCTGCTGTCCGGGCAGATGTCCTAAGCCAGTTAGACTAGAAGGACACGTTTTAATCTCTGTTTAGCGTCAGTGATAATCATCACTGAACGCTACAAATAACAAAAATAGTTATTGTTATTAATAACAACCAACAACAATAACTTCTCACTCCTACCCTGAAATCTTTGAAAATCTCTTGAAATCTTTTAAACTCTACTATTTCCCCCTTGCAATCAAGTCATATTTCTGGATATGACTTTAAGTAGTCGTATAAGCTTTTCTTTTCTGTCATTCTCAGCACAATAAATGAGATAAGCTATTGTTTTAAGAGCTGCTTCTACTGTATAAAACAGTACGCAACTCACCTTTAGCTACCATCACCGAAAAAAGAAAAAAAATCTTTAAAACAAACTATGTACCAAAGCATATGTGGCAACCTTCGACAATGTTTCGACAATAGTTTGTTATCGACATAGCCGTAGTCACTAATTGTTTCATCCTTGACACAAATATCCTTGACTTAACAAATTCACATAGGTTTCATTGAAAGCTGCGGGATACTTTAGGGACCTTACTTGTAAGCCGACATCAAGCTCGGAGCTAATGATTCTCCTAACTTTGATTATAAGTAAAAATATCGAAATGAAAAATAATACAGATGTCGCAAGGTGGAAATGCTGGAAATGGAAGTACAAGCATGTGAAAATTCTCTCACTCACACCAAGATGATTGAAATGAATATAATTTAAACATTATCTTTCTTTCTTTCGTTGCAAATATTTGTAGAATATTTATTAGATCCGTTTCAAAAAACAAATTTAGTATAACTAAAAAGCGCATTATAACCTTGTAAACTTAAATATATACGGAAGAATTATAAAAAATCACAATAAAATAAGGATTTTTCACAATCAAAACCAGTCAAATTAAGAATAATGTTAAAAGCTGTGTCAAACTGCCATGCTTGGAATTGTTATTAATCGTACCTTCCACATTGCCTATATGAAATAAGACAGATGATTAGATGACAAGAGTGTTTTTCTCTCACTTCTTTTGTAATGCTTCAAGAAGAGCTTGTGCACCTTGATCTCCAATTCGATTGTTCTCGAAGAATAACTGTATGAGCATCTATATGAAATAAGAAAGATAAAGACGATATGAATCAAGAGAGTATTTGTTTCTCACGGTATTCTTTTCTAATCCTTCACCAAGAGCTTTTGCACCTTGATCTCCAATTTGATTGTTCTCGAGGTGGAGATCTCTGAGCGTCTATATGAAATAAGAAAGATAAAGATGATAGAGATGAAGAGAGTATTTGTCTCTCACGGTATTCTTTTCCAATCCTTCACCAAGAGCTTTTGCACCTTGATCTCCAATTTGATTGTTTTGCAGCTTGAGAATTTGGAGTGCCTGTATGAAATAAGACAAATAAAGATGATAGAGATGAAGAGATTATTTGTCTGTTACGGTATTCTTTTGTAATGCTTCACCAAGAGCTTTTGCACCTTGATCCCCAATTTGATTGTTGTCGAGGTATAGACTTGTGAGCGTCTATATGAAATAAGAAAGATAAAGATGCTAGAGATGAAGAGAGTATTTGTCTCTCACGGTATTCTTTTGTAGTGTTTTGCCAAGAGTTTTTGCACCTTGATGTCCAATTTGATTGTTGTCGAGGTGGAGATCTCTGAGCGTCTATATGAAATAAGAAAGATAAAGATGATAAAGATGAAGAGAGTATTTATCTGTTACGCTATTCTTTTGTAATGCCTCACCAAGAGCTTGTGCACCTTGATCTCCAATTTGATTGTTGTCGAGGTATAGACCTCTGAGCGTCTATATGAAATAAGAAAGATAAAGATGATAGAGATGAAGAGAGTATTTGTCTCTCACGGTATTCTTTTCTAATCCTTCACCAAGAGCTTTTGCACCTTGATGTCCAATTTGATTGTTCTCGAGGTATAGATATGTGAGCGTCTGTATGAAATAAGACAAATAAAGATGATAGAGATGAAGAGAGTATTTGTCTCTCACGGTATTGTTTTCTAATCCTTCACCAAGAGCTTTTGCACCTTGATGTCCAATTTGATTGTTCTCGAGGTATAGATATGTGAGCGTCTGTATGAAATAAGACAAATAAAGATGATAGAGATGAAGAGAGTATTTGTCTCTCACGGTATTGTTTTCTAATCCTTCACCAAGAGCTTTTGCACCTTGATGTCCAATTTGATTGTTCTCGAGGTATAGATATGTGAGCGTCTGTATGAAATAAGACAAATAAAGATGATAGAGATGAAGAGAGTATTTGTCTCTCACGGTATTGTTTTCTAATCCTTCACCAAGAGCTTTTGCACCTTGATCTCCAATTTGATTGTTCTGGAGGTATAGATATGTGAGCGTCTGTATGAAATAAGACAAATAAAGATGATAGAGATGAAGAGAGTATTTGTCTCTCACGGTATTCTTTTCTAATCCTTCACCAAGAGCTTTTGCACCTTGATCTCCAATTTGATTGTTATTGAGGTGGAGATCTCTGAGCGTCTATATGAAATAAGAAAGATAAAGATGATAGAGATGGAGAGAGTATTTGTCTCTCACGATATTCTTTTGTAATGCTTCACCAAGAGCTTGTGCACCTTGATCTCGAGTTTGATTATTATTGAGGGATAGATTTGTGAGTGTCTGTATGAAAGAAGAAAGGTGAAGATGATAAAGATGAAGACAGTATTTGCCTCTCACTGTATTCTTTTGTAGTGTTTTGCCAAGAGTTTTGGCACCTTGATCTCCAATTTGGTTGTTGTCGAGGTATAGATCTGTGAGCGTCTATATGAAATAAGAAAGATAAAGATGCTAGAGATAAAGAGAGTATTTGTCTCTCACGGTATTCTTTTGTAGTGTTTTGCCAAGAGTTTTTGCACCTTGATCTCCAATTTGGTTGTTGTCGAGGTATAGATCTGTGAGCGTCTATATGAAATAAGAAAGATAAAGATGCTAGAGATAAAGAGAGTATTTGTCTCTCACGGTATTCTTTTCTAATCCTTCACCAAGAGCTTTTGCACCTTGATGTCCAATTTGATTGTTCCCGAACAATAGATGTATGAGCGTCTATATGAAATTAGAAAGATAAAGATGCTAGAGATAAAGAGAGTATTTGTCTCTCACGGTATTCTTTTGTAATGCTTCACCAAGAGCTTGTGCACCTTGATCTCCAATTTGATTGTTTTGCAGCTTGAGAATTTTGAGTGCCTGTATGAAATAAGACAAATAAAAATGATAGAGATGAAGGGAGTATTTGTCTCTCACTGTATTCTTTCGTAACGCTTCACCAAGAGCTTGTGCACCTTGATCTCCAATTTGATTGTTGTCGAGGTATAGATATGTGAATGTCTATGTGTAATAAGAAAGATAAAGATGATAGAGATGAAGAGCGTGCGTTTCTCTCACTGTATTCTTTTGTAATCTTTCAGCAAGGGCTTGTGCACCTTGATCTCCAATTTGATTGTTGCTGAGGATTAGAGCTGTGAGTGTCTGTATGAAATAAGAAAGATAAAGATGATAGAGATGAAGAGAGTATTTGTCTCTCACGGTAGTCTTTTGTAATGCTTCACTAAGAGCTTTTGCACCTTGATCTCCAAGTTGATTGTGGTCGAGGCATAGATTTGTGAGCGTCTATATGAAATAACGAAGATAAAGATGATAGAGATGAAGAGCGTGCGTTTCTCTCACTGTATTCTTTTGTAATCCTTCAACAAGATCTTTTGCACCTTGATCTCCAATTTGATTGTTGTCGAGGTATAGATGTTCGAGCGTCTATATGAAATAAGAAAGATGAATATAATAGAGATGTAAAGACTATTTTTTTCGATGGAGAAATCTAAACTTGAGTGGTTTGATGGATCCTAAACTCTTTTCCAAAGTTAAGTAAACAATTTTTCAATGGGATGACAGAAGAGTTTTTTTTCTGTTGAATTAGAAGTCTTGATATCGTTAAATGGTTATTTTCATTCCTAACGTATATGCACACTAGCAAGAAACCCACGACTTCGCTGCGGGTTGCGCGTTATCAGAATTATAATTCATTTTACTGCAAACACAACAAATCTTTAATATAGAAACAAAAAACTCTAGTATATAATAACGACAAAAATCATTATCTCCACAATGTTTTTTTGACCTTTGACCTCGTGCGGATAGACACACAACCGCGCTTTATTATAGGGGGAATGATACCTGACCGAAATAAATGGAATGCACCTTTTCTTTACATTGATCCTTTATAGAAGGAAAGTTTGAGCTCATTCCTATGTCGCATGCACATCTTCAAAATACCTATCCACCCGCCTAACGAGGGAACCGTTCGAAGTGATTCACGGGTTTTGAGCTCATATAGCGGGGATATTGAGAGGACCTCTAGACTAGAATAACCCCAAAAGGATTCGGATCCATGGCCTTCCTATCTTGAGATACTGAATTTTTAAGTTCCTAGGTAATATAGTGATTTGTGACATATATCACTGCATTATACCACGAACGAAAACGTATTACAAGCTAAACCTTTTCTGATAAACTATATTATTGCTATGGCTCACATCAGTCTTCTTCATAAATGACAACGGTCACACATTCAATTTGTTTCTGTACTACTAGTTATATTCGAAATGTTGCGATCAAGAAGAACCAGAGAAAACACAGAAAAGTGCAGAAAAGCGTCTACCACCATAGATCACTTAGTTTCTCATGCGCACTCGAAAGTTCATCCCCATTTTAGTATTATCGGTTTCCCACCACAAGTTAAAAATTACGCGATTAATCTAGATAGTCGCCAAAGGCAGGTACTTAATAAAGGCCCAGCGTACGTTCCGCCCAACCCAGTAACTGCAACTCGCCGCCTCACTTCGCTAGACTGTTACGTTTCATACTCCACAACGCATATTTTGCATTAGGAACGAAATTTTACAAACAAATTAGAGGCGGTGCGATGGGATCAGCAGTAACGCAAATCCTAGCCGACGTTTACATGATGGAGTGGGAATGTGACATTCTAGCGATGCAATTAGACGAAAAGGAAATTTACATAAGATTTCGTGACGACATTTACTTGACTACAAAAAAACCTCTTTTTGACTTCGTTGACATACTCAAAAAACTTGACTCTAAAGACCCTCATATAAGGCTGACTTACGAAACTGGAGACTCAGTAGACTACTTAGACGTGACAAGTTTCAAAAACCTTCCAAATCCCCATTTTCGTACGATCGTTTTCCGAAAACCTGCAGCCCAACCATATATCCTGCCCTTCGACTCTTCTCATCCACGAAGTGTTCAACATTAGAGTTCGACTCCTCCTCAATGGTTACCCGGCCAAGTTTATAGACGCCCATTTCGATCGCTTCGCCAAAGATATACGTCTACGCAACATTAACTCCCTCTTCGAGAATCAAAACAAATATGAGTATTGTCGAACCAATGTCAGAGACCGAAATTGGACAAACTAGCGACAACAACGAAAAGAAACCGATCCACATAAACAGCTTCTCATCCATTTCTCATATGTGCCTTCCATTTCACGATTCGGCCCGAAATTTTACCAAATGTGGACTGAAACATTCGAAAACACTCCTCTCACTGACGTTCACCCTATTTTTGCTAATCGTTTAACCGAAAATTTAACCCAAATGCTTATCCGGAAAAAACCTTCAAAATCCATCCTGAAACCACCCCCAGATAGGATCTAACCCCAAGCTGTCAACTTGAGCATGTGCTGTCTTTTGTGTTTGTATTTTAGTGATATGGAATATTAGCAAAAGAAATCGAACAATCGGACATACAGCGACAAAAATGATCAATCAACACAACAAAACAATCAGCATTTTCGCAACATAAAAAGATATTTCTCACGAACCCAAAACATATTTATAAGCAGACAAAAACGCATTAACGCAAGTAATTGTTTACAATTGTAAAGAAGGAGGGAAGATATAAAGCGCTCCCCTCCTTCTTCCGTTTTCTTACTCCATAGAGAAAGAAAGGAGAAGAATTATTAAATTATCTAGAGAACATGTAAAACAGTGTAAGATGGAAACAAGGAAAGAGAAACGTATGATCCTATATATATATATATAGTATTTGCACTTGATGCCCTATGAGTCATACATTCCAGAAGAAATCTTATATATTTTCTGTTAGTTAATTATATTTAATAAAAAATAAAGATGATCTTAGCTGCTGTGAAATCTATCATTTATATTTTCAAATGTTTGCCCATTAAGTCAAGCAATTACATTTGTACATATTATGGTATATCTATCCTTACATAAAACATCAAAGATACATCAGATAGTTGATGAAATATAAATCAGGTCTTTTATTTGATCGATCGATCAACGAATTTCCATTAAGATTATTGTTTAATATTTCTTTTCATTTCTTTTTAAACATTCAAATGAAAAATATTCTCTGGTTTTTCGAGTTTAATAGTAATTAACAATAAATATTCAAATCTTTATTTAAATTTTCAAATAAAAATCTCGTCGTTCTTTGACTTGTTTATATTTTGCTTTTCTAAGATCAGTTTTCATCTTTCATTTGAAAAGAAAAATATTCGTTTCGTTTTTAATTCTATTTGTCAAATATTTAAAATTTATTTTAATCAGATTTATCTATATGATCATTTCATGAAAGAAATATGTATTCGTGCCTTTTATATAATTTGTTAATTTAATTGGAAAACACATTTGAGAAATCTTTTCTTTTGTAAAGCTCAGTTTCATGATTGATTTGTCAATTGAAATGAAAGAAAAATATCAATAGTTTTAAATATTTCGATTTTGTTTCAAATATTCCAAAAATCAAGTCAAATACGAAAATAATATTAGAGAAATATAATCAAGAAAAATCCTTATACTTATCTTAATCAATACTTAATTTAACAGCGTTGTCTCATAATTAAATAAAGCATATCCAAATTCTCTTCTTTAACGATAAGTAACAAACACAATATGACTTACTTTATTATCTCGTAACAGATAATATGCAACTATTTCCATATCATCATCGGTCAAACCTTGGCCGGTCAAGAATACCGAGACGTTATCTTTGTTCTCATTAATCTGTTGTTTAAGTTTTTCATTTGTGTATGTCGGTGGTGATGATAATAAAGTTGTTGTCATTGATTCTAAAGAAATGGACTTAAAACATGAAGTAAACAATAAAAATACGTGAATTAATAGCAGTTATTCAGATTTTGTTTTTTTACATTTAATGCTTTTTCAAAGTACATTGATTTATTATCAAATCTATTCATTACATTTCATGAGACAGATAAATCGATTTTATTGAATTCGAAATAAACATGTGTCTATGAAAAAATCTGAAGAAATTTATATTTTTCTATTTAACTTCTCATCTTTCTTTGAAAGAAACTGTTTTATCCGATTTTGTTAGTCTACTGAATTACAATAAAAATGTGAATGAGATGAAGAAGATAGAGCAGTAGTAATATTGAATAACTTGAGAAAGTACGCAACTGCTGTAAAAATCATGATTTAACTAAATCACATTCTTTATTCTACACAATATTTCGACATTCTCCTGTCATTTTCAAGTGAAGAAAAGGAGAAGCCTTTTATCTGAAGAAAGAGAGAAGTCTCCATCGTTTATTAAAGATAGTTTTGAACTTATGAAAAAAGTCACAAAGCTGCAGACGAACAAAAAAGAAATAATGGTCAGTTTCGATATTGAGAGCTTATATACTAACATACCTGTAAATGAAGCGATCGAGGCAGCTTTGGACGTTCTCTATCAAAACAACAAACAGCCGGCGAAATGCTCACTTAATCGATCTCAATTCAAAAAACTTCTAGAATTGTCATCATTGAATGTATCTTTTCGTTTCTACAGTGAGAATTATGTTCAACAAGACGGTGTAGCTATGGGCTCGCCCATTGCACCAGTTCTTGCTGATATTTTCGTCTCAAAGCTAGAGCAGAAACTGAGTCGATTTTCCATCAATAAACCTAAGATCTGGCTTCGTTATGTCGATGACGTTTTCTGCATCTTCAACAAAAAACAAAGTCATTCATCACTTTATGGATATGCAGCAAACTGTAACACACAAAGACAGTCCATGTATACATACAAGACAGAACCGAACAAATTTTACTTCTGCAGAAAAACTGCAAAAGTAAACTTTGACGATCTCTCATATATGATGCACACGGACTGAGAGATTGTGCAGTTACTTAACTAACAAGTAGTTTTACCATGGCAACATTATGGGCGTTATACATGAAAACCTCGTAAGAATAGAGGTCGGCATTATACTACTCGTAAAAATAGAGTGATACTGACCGTTAAGTAATTGCACAATCTCAATCGGTGTGCATCATATATGAGAGATCATCAAAGTTTACTTTTGTAGTTTTTCTACAGAAGTAAAATTTGTTCGGTTCTGTCTTGTATTAACAACTGGCATTCAAATATCAAGTTTACTATTGAATACGAAAGTAATAATCGTCTGCCATTTCTAGATCTCTTAATTATACGCGAAAATAACGTTTATTCTACTACAGTTTATAGAAAGCCAACTACAACGAATCTTTATCTTC